AGGTGATGTACAGCCCGCTCCCTCAAGGGCTCCCCCATAGCGCACACACAAAACCACAAGTGTACAGCTGACATGGATGAAAGACACATTGTGTCAATCGGTGGTTTCATCTCATCTCATCTCTTCCTCATTTTTCTACTAAAAAAGAAGCTCTGTTTCAAGAAACTGCCTCTGAAGACAGATCTGTTCCCTGTAACCACATGTGTTTCCTGCAGCTATACAAACACGTCTTATTATGATTTCCAGTCATTTGTAGCCAGTTACAAGAAAGGATACTGATACTCTACAAAACCAAGAGTAAACTGGCATATAGTGCATGGCATTACTTTGAGCATTTGAGTTTACAGTGTGTGTAAAGCAGAAATAAAAATAAAACTGAATTCTTCACGCCTGACTTTACCAGCAGTCAGCGGTAAGTAGGAAACACACCTTCTGCAGAAACTTGTAAATCAGAATCAGAATCAGCTTTATTGGCCAGGTGTGCTGAACACACGAGGAATCTGACTCCCGTACAATGTTCTTCTGTAAGGCCCGAGAGAACAAAAAAAAGAAAAAGAATGTGCAAACAAAAAAGTTTATTATTAAATGTGCATTAGAAAAATAAAAATAAAGTCCTCAAATATAGAAACATATACACACAGTTTAGATGCAGTTTTCCAGATAGATACATACAAAAGCATATTTACAGGTGTTGCACTGAGGGTTATTGTCCAGTCATACTGTCGTGGGTTAAGTGTTCATCAGAGCAACAGCCTGGGGGAAGAAACTGTCCCTGTGCCTGGTTGTCTTGGTGCACAGTGACCTGTAACACCGTCCAGAGGGGAGGAGTTCAAACAGATTGTGTCCAGGGTGTGAGGGGTCAGCAGTGATCCTCTCCACCCTCCTTTTGACCCATGAGGTGTACAGGTCCTCCATGGAGGGCAGGCTCACACCAATGACCTTTTCTGCAGTCCTGACTGTTCGCTGAAGTCTGTTCTTGTCCTGTTTGGTTGCTGAGCCAAACCAGACAGTGATGGAGGTGCAGAGAACAGACTCGATGATTCCTCTGTAGAACTGTATCAGCAGCTCCTGGGGCAGGTTGAACTTCCTGAGCTGGAGCAGGAAGTACATCCTCTGCTGTGCCTTCTTGGTGATGGTCCTGATGTTGGACGTCCACTTCAGGTCCTGGGAGATAGTGGAGCCCAGGAACTTGTAGGGCCACTGTCTGACACCCTGAAAGTATAATTATTATTTTACTGGCTTCACCTCTGTGTAGAATTGGGATAAAATGATCAAGCAGACCTGGCGAGAATTGTTTCTTTATTAAGACAATGTTGATTTTTTATGAAGTGTGCAGCTGTAAGTGTTTCCCAACATGATGCTCAAGTCAATGCAAGAAATGTGGTCTGACACAGAATCTGTGTAGCAGAATGCTATGGTCCCCATTTTTGGCAGCAAGTCCTTTTAAATACAATTTAATAGCTACTGTAACATCTAAATGTACATAATGCTATCAATAATACACAATGATTCTTATTCTTTTTGTGTAGTTTTGGTCTGGCAAATCTTAATACTACCAAAGCTGCAAAAGATGACACCATAATGTTTGACGTCATCTGAAACGCTTTAGGAAACCCACTACCGAAATGTTGGTCACAGCAGGAAAGGAGCAGCTGACAGAGAGATTAACTTTCTCTTTCACTTCAAATTAAACTAGTATTCGATAACTTGCAGTTGTATGCCTCTGCTCACCAGTCAAGTTCATGGGAAAAAGACAGGCGTGAGGACTTTGACCACCAAAATCTAAACAGTTCATCTTTGAGTCCATACAGGCGAGTCAACCAAGGGAAGATATCTCGAAAATACGTTTCTTTTATTTGTAGTGAGATTCCATATAGCAGTAGAAAAACACTGCTATCTCTCTGTTGGGCTGACCAAAGGCAACTCTATCACTGCCCTTTAATCTCCTTGATAGATATTGGGGAATCAGATTGGGGAAATGAGCTGCAGTCTAAACTCAAGTCATGATGCGTGTGTCAAATTTGAAGAAATACCCTCAAGTCATTCCTGAGATGTTGCATTCAGGAGAATGGGACAAATGTATGGATGGACGGTTAACCTGAAAGCATAATGCCGGTGGGGAGGCATAAAAATGGGCCAATAAAGTTGCCCATTTCTTTTCTTTTCTGACATCCACACAGAAAAATAAATAAAATCTATTTCACAGTGGTCATGTCCAAAAACAAAACATAGGTCCTGTTTTTTAATTTGTATTAACAATGATGAAGCTGAAAGATAGTTACACTGAGCGCTTACAGAATATATTACTAGAGGACAGATGTGCAGCCGACAGAATATATAGCTTCTGTCATTCGGTAGGACATTAGTTGGCCCATAATCCCCGCAGTCATGGCACCATCAGTAACCAGTGTAGTTCTTTGTGTTGTCTGCAAATAGTTTTTCATTAGGACTGGATCAAAAACAGCCTCTGCAACAAGTAAAGTTGTGAAAAAGTGTGAGAGAGAAACGAGTGAGTGCTATGACAATGGCAAAGTTATGATATCACAATAGAAAATTAAACTGGATTTTATATAGCATATCCTCTATTAGCTGCCATCAGAGCCAAATGCAGTAGTTTGTGGACGTAAAGCCACGATGTTGCATGTGAGAACACACAAGTTTTTCCTCTCTGTGGTATATGAGAAAATACTTTTCAAGCCATTTTCAAGTTCAGGTTTCACTGTTTTATCTCCACTGATGCTTTAATTTAATTGGTGCCTTTAACCCACTAAGCTTTTGTTAAATCATCAAATGTTTCAAAATACAATTACTTCTACAAGTCAACAAACTCTTATAGCGGCATGGGGATTCTGGTTGATGCCTGTCTTTTACTTTCCAAAGAATCATCACACTCACGTATGGTTGGTGGTTTCCCTGCATCATTCACAGTAATACATCTTTGGTTCAGTACAGGAAGAACTCACTTCCAGAGTGTGTCACTGGGGGCTCTGCAATGCAGCTGTGCTGTCTCTCAGTGCAGATTGGAGTGGATTTTTTGGTGTTCTAGCTAAAATTACTGAATGACATTAATCTTCTTCCACAGAAATCTGAGGGAGAGTTTCCCCTTGTGTGTCAGTGGCATTCACTCAGAGCATATCTGCCTGGAAAGACTAGTAGAAAAGTTGCTCAGGACCATCAACACAGGGACTGTCACAACCAGTCCTTACATTTTCATTTCCACAGCATTCCATATGATTATTTACAGATTATTTATGTCCACAAACTACTGCATTTGGCTCTGATGGCAGCTAATAGAGGATATGCTATGCAAAGCACTCTGCATTATATACTAAATAACTGACTACTTTTGGCTGTTCCCATGAGGGGTCACCACAGCAAATCAACCGTTCGCATGTATACATTTGGCATGTGTTTTACACCGGATGCCATTCCTGATGCAACCCAAATTAGGATACACTGAATAACTGACTACAGTTGTACATAAACGCTCTGTTGTTTGATTACAAATTCAACAGGAGGTATATTTTGATAAATTCAGACATTATGGGTTTGATAGTTATGGTACAAAATCATCTCTGGTTACCTACAGTATGTCTTAGTTTGCAGGCACCGAGACCACATGTATTGCTTTCACTGGAACAATTTTCTACTAAAATGTACTCTAAAAAAAACTGCAGGGAATGGCTAATGGTCAGTTTTTGTTAAACTGATTTTAAATATGAAAGTTGTTTCTAATATTTTTTCATTTGATGTCAATTCAGTATTAGAAATACCTCTTAAAGCAATAAACTGACAGCTGAGTGTATTTAGTGTTGTGAATGTAAATTTGTTAGTTGTTGAAATACACAATCAACCCACATGGGTCATCCATCCTCCATCTTGTTGATGTGGATATATAGAGGGATGCCTTAATAAACTAAGGTCACATTGTGCTCCTTTGATATAAAGTTGTGTTTATCATATATTGCCTCCTGGGTAATTCATCACAGAGGAACTGTAAGGCTGCAACCGGCAGTTATTTTCATCACCTGTACATCTGACAGTTATTTTTTTTTAATAATAGGTGGGTTGTTTAGTGTGCAAAATGTCACAAACTGAAAATTGCCAATCATTAGGCTATTTCTAGGAGCCCAGGTTCATGTTTTCAGATTGCTTTTTGAATAACAACCCAAACATTTTCAGTTTGTCAGTTTGTCACTGAAAACTAAGGAGGGAACTAGTAAATATTCAAGCTTGAGAAGCTGTTACTGATACAGAAACTGACGTTTTTGCTTAAAAATGAGTAAACAATTAATCACTAATCAAAATAGTTGCCAGTTAAATTTCTTTTGTCGTCTTAATTGATTAATTTCAGCTCTAGGGTACTGGTTGGTTTCTGGGTGCCCGTGTAAATAGTTAA